CTACTATTAAATGCTGGGGCCTGATGTAACTTCAGGCTCATCTCCCTTCAAAGCCTTTACTCCCACACCAAAGTTCCCTAACAGAGCCATTGCTCCAAAGGGAAGTGTGTTAAGGAATCAATTCTTTTATTCCTAGGTTTTAAACATGTTTAATGTAATCCATAATGTTTTACAAATTGAGTTTACAGAGTTTGCTTTAAAGCAGTTTTGTTTGGCTCCCTACTCATTGTCCACTACTGACACAAATGGAGATTGACCAGAGAATCCACCAGCCAGCTTTTCAGCAGCAGTTTCTCCCTGCCAGCTCAGACACTGACAAAGCAGCAGCGCAGGCTGATCTGATGTGTACACGGGGGATCCGGAACTTAAAACACGAAGCCTGGTCCAGGGAGAACAAACCCACTGGCCATGGTGCCCCCTACGTGCAATACCAGTCAACTTGTGAGGTGCCACAGCCATATCCAGGGAGTAAGCAATATGTGGCAGAGGTTCGGGAAGATGCCTCACCCCACTCGGCCTCCGGAAGCCGTGCGAGGCGGCCAAGGGGGACCTGACACAGCCCTGTTCTGCCATGTCCCAGGTGGGCCCTAAGGCAACTCCTTGATTCCTCAGCATCACATCCCTCGGATGGGTGGCAGAGATGTTGCTAGGATCACACCAGCACAGAGAAAGCACTCGATGATGGTCAGCAAGTTCTAGTACAAACGTTTAGATTTCTCCCTTTCGGGAGTAGTATATATCTTTCAAAGATTTGTTTATTTGTGCATACAGAACTGGGGTACAGGCCAGAGGTGCAGGGGCAGTGAGAGGCTTCACCAGAGACAGAGTGGGGAGCAGAACAGGCAGATGATGAAGTACACTGCTGAGGGGTGCAGCATGTGAGACGGGAGGGGTCAGCTGCGCTGTGTGGGTCAGCTCCGGGGCGGGGACAGAACTCGCGCTGAAGCGGCTGCTAGCTTCACAGTGCTGCGCTTTAACCCATTTTGCCACCCGGGAGGGCCCAGGAGTAGTATATTTTTTAACTGTAGGTCACCATCCCAAAATGTGGCATGAAATCCCTTTTGATGACCATAATCATCAATTTGGGGGAAATTAAAAATAGTGTATTAACAGTATGGACTTCACACGCCTTCATAATTTTTTTCTTTAGAGTCCACACTAACATTCAGCAGTGCTGAATCTCTGTCTTCTCAGTCCCCTGGGTCTGTGATGTATCAGGCAGTGACCTAATCATATTACTTTCCAAGAGTCACCATCAAAAACTTTGGAAAATGCTGATTTACAGGATGAGACCGGTAGGCACTTAAGGAGGATGAAAGCGCATAACCAGACAGAAAGCACTAATTTAGGTACAGAGAAAAGGGCAAGTCCTCTAAGTGGACAGCCAGGGAAAGCCAGCTGTGGCTGCCGTGCCCAGGTCTATTTATGGACAGGCATTTCAATAACCTGAACAGTCAAGTTGTTAGCCAGATTTTTATCTCCAACACAAATCAAACTGCAAAATGAGAAGTGCAGGTGTTATCTTGATACTGGGCAAGATGTGGAAAGTGATATAATTTCTCCAGTAAGTCACCTTGCAATACATGGAGAGGCAGACATTGTGCCAGATTTCAAGTGCTTTTAAAAACGATCAGGATTTGGCAGAGATCTGGAAAAAAAAAAATTCTTGGAAATGTGCTATCTAAAAACAGAAATCCTTAAAAGTGGCTGTAGATTTCATTTAACATTCCCATGATAACCAAACTCCTAGCTGAAAATATAACTACCTATAAGGAAATGAAATGGAAAATCACTATAAACATCCTAATCACTGCATAACTTATAAAAATAGTTAACTGTGTAACCAAAAGGCTATGTAATGCCACCACCCTTGGTCGGGGTACGGGTCGTTGGGGCCCAGCCCTGCCACACCCATCTTCCTGCAGAGTTCCTGCAAGTTCACCCACACCCAGACTTAGTGTCCCTTCACCTGGTTATAGTCATTAGGCTACACGCTAGGTCCCCAGAATTCCCTGATCGAAACACCAGGCCACATCTAGGGCATGACCAGATCTGCCCTACCAGGGTGGGAGCTGGGGAATTCCAATAATGCAAGCCGAAGTCATGATTAAGGGTGGCAGAGGGTGTGGGCAGAGATGGGACAGGCGAGCAGACACCGTACTTCACCAAATGGGAAGATATGGGTGGGAAGCAAAAGGAAATAGGTCGGGGGCAGAGTTCCCTACCACGTTACACCTCTGCGCTCTGGGAAATCTGAAAATTCAGGTTTCAAACCTTATGAAGATTTCGCTGTCAAGGTAGGCAGGTAGAAAACATCGCACATAAATGTTCCACTAGCCTAATTTGTCACTTCTAAATATGTTGACATGTGCTATATGATCTTCCATTTGTTCTCTTGCCTGGGACCAGGCACTTACAGGCAGGCGTGCTGGGTAAAAGTGGTCTGAGTGCCACACCACTGGAGTTTATAATGCCACACACACCCCTCTCTCATTCACCAGCTACATGAGCTTGGAAAAGTCTCTTCACCATCCTGGGTCTAGGTTCCCACATCTGCAAATCAGAAATAATAGCACCCTCGTTGGAGGATGGTTGTAAGACTGAACCATTTGGTGTCTAGAACAGCACCTGGTCCCTCACAAACGCCCCGCAAATGCTGTCTTATTATACTCTCCTGGCAAAAAGTAGCAACCACTGCAAACTCCTGCATAAGGCCACAATCAGGAAGTTACTGTATGCCTCTTCTTTCCCACTCCTTTCTAATTTTAAGTATCATGCTTTATGCTGCTTCAAGAGATCATGATTTTCTATTCCAAAAAGCACCAGTCCTGCCTGATGCAACTTCTTCTGAAATTAAATATGTATTCGCTCTCTCCCCCACCGTGGCAAATTGGTTTTCTGTGTCATTTTGTGCAACCAACATTTGAAAACATTACCAGTTTTGAGTGTGAAAAGAGCATTCCTTAACCGTCATGTTCGTGAAATTCAGAGCTTAGAAGCCTGGCTCGTTTCTACCAGAATCGCAAGCCAGAGGCTGAAATAGTTGAGGCAATCACCAAGAGAAGGAGAGCAGACAAGAGAGCTAAGCTAAAAATAGAGTCCTACCAGTGGAGAAAGAGATAAAAGAAGACAATCTTTGCAGCACTCCTGGTTATTGTTAACGTATAGTCCTTACAAATGCCAAGAGCCTTCCAGCCGGTTTCTATTCTATCAGCCTACACCAGCAACAAATAACTTGAACAAAATACTTGCCACATTTTAGTGGCATGTGGCAACGCACAGCCTCTTGGAACACTTCACCACAAAACCTCTCACACCACCAACTGGCTGCCACACATGCAGGTGAGAAGGGCCAATGGAAGGTTCAAGGTCACGTTTACCCTTTAATGGGCACTTAGTCTACATGTGGAATACAGTAAACATTCAACCCTCCTTTTTTCCCCTAATTAATCTGAAAATTTTTCGAAACATACGATTTGCCAACACTTGTCCGACTGGACCTCTTAGCGACACCTAATTAGTCTCCCATAAAAGTAGTATTGCTAAAGCATGGTTCATTTCAATAATAGTTTTCTATTAACTCAAATCTTCTTCAAATCCAAAATGGAGTATAAAGGCCAGGATGAAATAAATGCAAATGTATTGGATTCTAGCGACAAGACTGAACACATTCACCCAGGCAACAGTAACCCCACCTAAATCGAATCTAGTATTTCTTGGAAGAGTTTTACCAACTTCCTATAAAAATATCCCATGAACACTTCCTATTTGGGCCAGTTTTTATTTATGCAATTAAAGTGGCTTTTTACAAGAGCTGGGTTGGAGAAACAATCTATCTTTACAAGCCCATTAGTCATACCGCCAAGCTTCATTATATCATGATCCTTCATCATTAATCCCTAATGAGAATGCTGCTTCCTTGCACAATGAGAATGTTCAGGAAAATATATATTCACAATAGACCATCAAATGTGTGAAACACAGAATACCCCCCAAACAGTGGGAAAGCCAGTGAGTTCATCTGGCTTTCATTTTTGCTAAAGGGACACAAACCCAGCTTTAACTTAGAGACTTGTCCTTAATTATTAATCCTCCTCCTTCCCCCCTTCCAAACTCCACTCCCTTAAGAGAAGAACACTTCTGTAGAATGACTGTTCTTAAGGACTCTCGTGGGAGATGATCTTGGCTTCGGTCATTTTTCCAGCATGTTTGTTATTTACTTAAATATTTATTCTAAATATTTCTCTTACACCAAAGGTACACACGGCCATTGAGACTTGTGTTAGTCTTAGCCCTCAGCTGCGGGATGTCACGCTGGCTGGGACCTCGCGGGCGTCCCGCGCTCCGCCCGCAATGCTGCCCCCCTTCCAACTGGGCGCCCTTCCAGATTGCCCAAGGGTTCATTCTGCGCCCACCTACGGGTAGCTGGGCTGGAGCAGGAAAGAAGAGAGCTGCTTCAACAAAGCCCAATGTCTGCAGCTTTGGAAAGGCAGAAACACTTGCGGGGACGCGCATTGGGGCTGGCTGGAAAAGAGAAAACATTCAGCTCAATTTTTGATGCAAATATTCAGGAACCGAGGGGACCTCTTGGGATCCCCAGAACCTCTCTTCTCCCAGGCTAAGCAGCTTGCAGGTCTCTTCCCAGCTCCTCTCCACAGCCCTCGCGCTGCGAGGATCCCTTCAGCGCATCTAGTTGAGCCTGTGCGTGGACTATAAGCCACAGGAGCCAAGAAGCGCCTGGAGCTCAGAAAAAAAAAGCAATGCGCTTGGCGAGACGCAAGCCTGCCCACGACCATCCACGCAGCTCTCCAGCAGCCTGAACCCGTGGGGGGCGTCCCAGTCCCCGAGCCCGGCGCCCGGCGCCGGCGAGAGAACGCGCCGCGCCCCGCTCCCGCGCCTGAGTCCGGGCAGTGCGCGGGGGAACTGGAGGCCCCGAGAATGCCCGCGTGGGCGCAGGGGACAGGGGAGGCCCGCGACCCTCCCGCCCGGCTCTCAGGTACCTCGCAGCCGTACAGCTGCCCCAGCTGCTCCACGATCCATTCCTCCAGCACGAGCCGCTTCCGGAGCTCCTTGCGATCATATTTCACTGTCACTTTTCCCTGCTGGTGGCGCCGCTGCTGCTGAACCTGCCCGGCCGCCGCGGCCGCGGGCGCCG